TAATATGCCGCTTTTTGTGTAAGTAAACCAAGTTCAGTTATTTTATGGAGTTCTTAAAAAAAACTTGACAGTTTATTTGTGGAGGATGTGACAGTCTGTCTCTAAATAATGTCTTTCTAAATAATGTCTGTCATTCCTTCCATTAGTCCAGTGAGCCTCAGCCGGGGGTAATTTTGCCCCCCTCCCTGGGGAACATCTGGCAATGTCTGGAGACCTCTTTGGCGGTCACAACGGGGGGTGATGCTACCAGCATCTAGTGGGGAGAGACCAAGGATGCTGCTCAGCATGGTACAGTGCACAGGAGGCCCCACAGCAAAGAATTCTCTGGCCCCAAATGTCAAGAGTGCTGAAGATGAAAAATCCAGAATTAGCTCTTCCATCTTAGTTATGCCAGGTCTGTACCATTTTCTTCATCAAAATGTTACTGTTATGATAGGTTTGGTATTATTACTGAAAATTCTGTTATAGTCACAAATATAAAATATATCTACATATTAGGATAAAGTGAATAACAATTAATGTTGTTAAGAACTAAAATGTTCACAATTAGAGAAAAGACACAAATATAAAATCAAATAATTTAAAAACCTTGTAATCTTAAATTTGAGTGGTAAATATTAGTATGAACTCATCATTTGCCTCTTTTTAAAACTAGGTATGTATTTCCTAGCTCTGCCCAATCAAAAGGCCAGGAAGCAATGATAATCCAGTAGCAAGGAACACCCATAACTGTGAGACTGTGATCTCTAAATATATTTCCCATTAAAGGGAACCAGGGCTCTGTGAATCAATGGCTGATTCCAGGTCTGGAGCAGAATATTCAAATTGAGCCTGGGTCACCTTGTGCAAATGACAAAGAAGCTTGGCCCTGCCACACCTAACAGAAGGGGAAGCTAAGAAATAGAATCCAAAAGTTGGGGTTCTGTTATGAAAGTAGAAGGATGAAGTAAATATTGGGAGGCAGGGGCTTCCCTGGTGGTGCAGTGGTTGAGAGACCGCCTGCCGATGCAGGGGACACGGGTTCGTGCCGCGGTCCGGGAAGATCCCACATGCCGCGGAGCGGCTGGGCCCGTGAGCCATGGCCGCTGAGCCTGCGTGTCCGGAGCCTGTGCTCCGCAACGGGAGAGGCCACAGCAGTGAGAGGCCCGCGTACCGCAAAAAAAAAAAAAAAAATATATTGGGAGGCAGTTATCAATCTCTGCCACAGCAGCATGGGGGCTGACAATCAGTCTCTGGATCTGCCCTGTCCAGCAGAGTAGCTGCCGACCACAGGTGGCTACTGGGCACCTGAAGCAAGGCTAGTCCAAACTGAAGCGTGCCCTAAGTATAAAGTGTACACTGGATTTCAAAGATTTAGTATGAAAAAGAGAATGTAAATATCACAATAATTTTTATATTGATTATATATGGAAATGATAGTATTTTAGATATATTGGGTTAAATAAAATATGTTATCAAAATTGCATATTATCTGTTTCTTTTGATAATTTTTAACGTGGCTACTAGACATTTTTTAAGTATGTGTGCCTCACATTATATTTCTATTAGACAGTGCTGCTCTAGAAAAACCAGTTACAGGGTCTTCTGAAAGGCTCGGAGCTTGGGAAATGGGACAGACATGGGAAGTTTAGCAAAGGCATGGAGAAAGAGGAACAAAAAATTCAGAGAGGGAGGGAGGGAGGGAGGGAAGACAGACTAGTGGCCACAGAACAGAAGAAAATATCTACAAATCTGATAGAGGACGAAACAAATCTTATAACTCAATAATTTAAAAACGGACAAAGGATTTGAAGACATTTCACCAAAGAAGATATGCAATTGGCCAATAAGTACACGAAAAGATGCTCAATATCACTAGTCATCATGGAAATGCAAATCAAAGAGAGGAGATACCACTGCTCATCCACTAGGATGACTATAATCAAAACGACAGAGAATATCAAGTGTTGATGAGGATGTGACGAAATTGGAACTTTCATCCATGGCTAGTAAGAATGTAAAATGGTGCAGCGACTTTGGAAAACAGATTGGTCGCTCCTCAATTAAACAGAGTTACCATAATAATTGCACTCAGAGGTATAAAAATAGGCAAATCTATAGAAACAGAAAATAGATTAGTGGTTGCTTAGTGCTGGGGGTGGGAGATAGGGATGACTGCTAATGGGTACAGGGTGTCTTTTCAGGGTAAAGAAAAATATTCTAAAATTGATTGTAGTGACGATTGTATAATCATATAAATATAGCTAAAACCATGAATTGTACACATTAAATGGTGAATTGTATGGTATGTGAGTGATATCTCAATAAAGCTGTAAAAAAAAACTAATGATGTTATACCAAACAAGTCATGAGATCATGGTGAGAGAGAGAGAGAGAAAGAGAAAGAGAAAGAGAGAGGGAGGGAGGGAGGGAGGGAGGGAGACTGACTCATTGGTTACCACTGGAGGTTGCTAGGGCACAACTCATGACTCTAAAAATCAAAGAGAAAGAATTCTGATTTTCAAGTATAAACTACATTTCAGGGTAACCAAATAACCCTATTGGATGGGGCAAAGTTCTATGGTAGAGAATAATTCCAGCTATCAATCAGAAGGAATGATAGAATCACACCTCTAGTGAAATAAATGATTCAGGCAAAGATCATCAATGGATGCTACAACCATTGACGGGAACTACAGAGCAGAGGAACCTGGCTGACACACCTGAACCCACTGATCAATCTTGGTACCACCACAGGTGGGACAACAGGGCACTACATACTTCTGCATGTGATGCAATGTGATGTACTCAGCATCATGTATGAAGTATGTCGCCAAAAAATTATATTAATCCTGAATTGAATCTAATCAATCTAACTTTTAGTCTAGAGTAATTATAAGGGCAAGAAGAACTAGCTAAGTATCACCATGAGCATACAATGAGCCACATCCAGAAAGTTTAGACTCTGCAGGACAACCTCCCTAGCAATCAAGTCAATAGCAAGTGGGGGAAAGAAAGAGGGAGTCTGTTCTAGATTAAAGGATACTTAAGAGAACAACTAACTACAAAATGCAAATCTTGTTTGGTTACCAGTTCAGTAAACCAACTGTAAAAAGACATTTTTGGAACAATATGGGAAATCTGAATATAAACTGGGTATTAGAGGATACTAAGCAATTACTGTTAATTTTGTTGGGGTTGATAATGACACTGTGATAATGTAAGAAAATGTCCTTATTTTTTTTAAAGATGTATGCTGAAGTATATATATGTGAGAAATAACATAAGAATCTAGGATACAGTTTAAAATGTTGCAGCAAAACAAGAGAGGAGGCAGCAATAGATTAAATCAATTGGGCAAGATGCTAGTTATGGAAACTAGAAAATGGTGGGTTCATTGTGCTCTTTTCTCTTTAGTGTTTGTCTAGAATTTTTCATCATAAAAAGTTTTTTTTTCAACCCAGCGACGTTCAAGAATGGGTAGGACTTACCGGTTCCCAGATATGCTGAAAGGATGCAATCCGTGATGTCAAGGAATCCAAGCTCAAAAGCACATATGTATTTGCCATTTGACATGACGAGAGGCAATTCTTTCAGAAAAACCCTTCTAGGCTTCTTTATTTTCGATTGCTTACTAGCTTTTTGTTTTTCCTCTCTGAACCATTTTATGTGAGGTTTCCCAACAACTGATCACCTCAGGGAAACTGCGGCAGCGCTATAACCTCCTCAGCTAAGCCCTAGGTTTCGCTGGGAGGTAAGGGCTCTCTATTCCTCCCTGCAGGGCACAGCCCTTCCCGGAGCCATGCACGAAGCTGTCCAGTTTTCACCCACCCTCCTCAGCTGACTCTCACGGTCCCCCTGCGTCATAAGTAAAGAGGTTATGATCAACCCTCTTTCAAACAGGTGAAGGAATGGAGATTCTTTCTCTAAAGGATTTCACCGCCACATTTAAATGATGGTTCTCTGTGTGGATTCAACTTTAACATTGTGTGTAAACACCTCTCTCTTCACAATGTAAAATGCTGATCACCTTAGCACATTAGAAAAGTCTTATAAATTTGAGAAGAGTTGAAGCTGGGTTGAAATTATGAATATAGTTAAAATAACAGATTACACATGAACACCATCACCTCTTGCCAGTGACGACTTCTCTGGGAGCCTAGATGATCAGCATGCACGGGCAGAAGGGTGTCTCTTTTCACCTTGGAATGTAGAAACAGAAATGGACGAGGTAGGGGGAAGGGGAAGGGGAAGAGCGTCACGAGTCCCAGCTCTGCTGCAAATAGGATGTTGACTTTGGGTGGACTGACCTCCCTTGACCTTGGTACCCACTCTGCAAATGGCAAGAGCAGCATTTCCTTATCTGGCTCCTGTCTTATGTGCAGCTCAAAAAAAACAAGGTATGTGAAAATATTCTTGTAACTATAAAGGGATTATAATTATTTTTTAAAATATTCTCTCCAAGTAGATATTATTTTTCTCTAGTCAACATCTCTTATTTCCCAATTCTGCTTCTAGAATTGGTCTTAAACTACTCTGGGATACAGTCTGAATAACAGACTCTGAGAGTAGATTATATTTTCAATTAGATATTATTTAGCTTCCTATTTATTGCACAACATTAAGGTAAAGATTTTCCTCCCAACTTAAAGTTTAATTTTAACATGTTAAAATCCAAACATGTTATTTCTGGAATATTCTTTGAGTCCTGCAGATTTTAGCATTTTACAGTTCTCTGCCAAACCCCTGCTTAAACACATTTAATAATTTGGCTTTAAACTCAGAATCTCCATTTTAAATATTGTCAGTGGTAGCCCTGACCTATGTTCCTTCTGTTCAGGCAGATTCTTTCACGGTACAAGTAGCAAGGATTGAGGACTTGACCAGGAAAGCCTTCAGCTTCATCTTCCAGGGCTGGAACCAAACAAGAGGACTTTTCCTGAAGTGCTCAGTATAATATCTTCATCTGTACTCAGTGGCTCATGAAAATGCATTCAGAATGTACTCTCTAGATCTCTTACCATGGCAGGTTGGAGGCTGCTAAGACAAACACGAGATCCTCGGAGCGGGCCAGCCCATCCATCTGCACCAGTAACTCAGTCTTCATCCGCAGGCTTCCTTCATGCTCTCCCCTAGAGAAAGACGAGAAGGTGAGATGCTCCCAAGAGGCAGAGTCTTTGCTTTCATGACCAGAGTGACACTCATAGCAAGGACTCAGTGACGGCAGACCGGGTTCCCTTCTGACAACTAACCCCTTCCCTGCCGCATTCTCAGGAGCTACTCATCCCAGGGTTGGAGAAAAGAAGCAATTGGTACTACTTTCAAACAGTAACAGAAAGGAAGTAAATGAATATAATGATGATATTGAAAAGAAAAACAAAGGTTGACAATGAACCAGAAAATAACCGAAGGGGAGACAGTGGCACTAGTAGATTAAAAAAGGCAGCCCCACTGTGTCGACCTGCCGTATCATTTACCCTTTTAAAAAATGGCTTCATTGAGAATAATCCTTTTCATTTATATAGCAGGCATGAAAGTACTTTACACACACTATTTCTTTTAGTATAATGTATGGACATAAACTGTCCAAGAAGAGATGAACCACAACACAATATTTCATTCTCTTCTAATAAGAGACAAGATAATGACACGGAAACTAGGCTTTCCTTGCACAGCAGAATAGAGGCAGTTTTCTGTGCAAATTCATCCTCTGATTTCCCCACCACCCTCACTGCTGAGACCCTCCAGCCAAGAAAGAGGTCACTACACCATAGGACGTGCACAATCAAAACTGGCTCAAAGTCCTGACCAGCTCCAGCAGGCTCTCATGTAGATCAAGTTAAAAGGAAAAAAAAAGTGCCTTTCTAGCACAACACAACATTCAGTTTCTCATCTCTGCCTGTATATGGTGGCAGCCCAAATTAGGCTTATGGGTTTTTTAAGAACTGTGCCCCTTTCTATGTAAGAGGAAATATAAATATCGTTATATATTTATCTAGCATTTACACATAATTACTATTCTTTTAACATAACATGACCCCCAAAGTCTTCAGACCACCTGCCCTTATTCCCTTAACCTTTGAAGACTCTCGTTTTAGTGTTTAACTTCCAGACAAGGAAACTGACACACTCAAGGCTGGTAGATGAAGTTTCCAAAGTAGCTCAATCAAAGCTGTGGAGGGCCCTGGGGATGGAGATGGGCAGAGTGCATGTAAGGGCGAGTGTCACTGCAGTAAGGCAGGCCAGGAGCACAGGGCATTGCAGAGGAAGTGACCACTAGGGCGGCCTGGTGGGCTCCCAGCCAGGCCCCCGTGCAGCTGTTCCCGCCAGGCCCCCTTTGGAGAGGCAGATCACCTAGCCTGGGGCTGACTAGCACCCATGAAGCCATAGAAACAGTTGCATTTCAATCAACGACATGAATCCCATGCATCTTGGATGCATCTTGATGGTTGTTTTTCTCTGCTGGGAAAATGGTTTTTAATAAGTAAAATTTCATAAATTATATTCCAGTTATACTTCCAACAAGATAAGTTTACTTTTTATTAATATTAGTTCTGCCTTGATGATAGACCATTAGAAGCCATCAATAAATGCAGCTGTGTTGAGTTTTCCCTGAGAGCTGTTTTTTCAAGCCAGGGATACCAAGTTTAGTAAAAAGTTTCAAAGAAAAACACCTCTGATGAAGACAGAAAGGTGTTCTTAAAACACACACACATACACACACACACACACACAACCTCATTACAGTCTGAGATGTGTTCTGCCTGCTGCGGACATTAGTGGACACTTAATCTTTAGAGATAACATATGTGACATATTTAAAATCGGTCCGGCTGAGCCACAGTCTGGTGTCACAGAGAAGTGGCGGCTTCCCTGGTCTCACACGCCTTGTCCAGGGCTGCCTCTCAGGGCGTAGCCCTTGGCAGCCCCGTTCCCCCCAGGCAGCCCCTCTGGCTCCAGGAGGTGTTCACGGGCGGCTATTTGGAGCCAGCAGGATGGTTATGGCAGCCTGGGATCAGGGGCTGGGTGATCTTCAGGCCTGAAATCCACTCTGTGGGGAAAGGGCAAGGGAGAATGACATTTCCTCTGGTTATAAAAACTATTTAAATCAGCTATTCAGTTAACATGATCTAATTTAAAGACCTTTCCGTGTGTCTGCAGAAAATCTGTGGGCTTATTAATAGGCTCATTCTGCTGGTAAATGTCGATGGGCTTCCGACCGTCAAACACACTTACGAGAGGGGAGAAGTGATGACCAAAAAAACCCTGTCTGTTACCCAGGAGCCGTGCCTCTCTGACTCATCACTGACTCCAGCTCGTCCAGGAAGATGGTGGAGGGGGCGTGATAGCGGGCAAGTTCAAATAACACCTGGGTAGGAGAAACGCAACCACTTGTTAATTCATATACTTAAAGTTCTCAGATGCTCCCAGAGATTAAAAGCTTAGGATAGCTGTAATATTAAGCATTTATGCTTCACTTTGTTATTTCACAATAACTTTATAATCATTACAGTTACTTCTCCCTAGCACTACCCCATGGTCCAATTATTTCCATTTACCACTTGGTAAAATTACAGCCAGAGAGAGTAAGTGGTTAGCTCAAGGTTATTAATCATAGGATTTCCCTGGTGGCGCAGTGCTTAAGAATCCACCTGCCAACGCAGGGGGACACAGGTTCGATCCCTGGTCCGGGAAGATCCCACATGCCGTGGAGCAACTAAGCCCGTGCGCCACAGCTACTGAGCCTGCGCTCTTAAGCCCACGAGCCACAACTACTGAGCCCGCATGCCACAACTACTGAAGCCCATGCGCCTAGAGCCCGTGCTCCGCCACAAGTGAAGCTACCGCAATGAGAAGCCCACGCACTGCAATGAAAAGTAGCCCCCGCTCGCCACAGCTAGAGAAAGCCCACGCGCAGCAACGAAGACCCAACACAGCCAAAACTAAATAAATAAAAATACATAAATTTATATTTTTAAAGTTACTAATCATAAATGGGAGAGCTTAAGATAAAACTCAGTTCCTGAACTTTGTTAGTTAGTTAGCTAATTTGTTAGTTAACCCTTGAGACCCCCTGCCAATAACATGTTCCACATGGACACAAAAGCCTTGGAATACGTAAAATCAGTTAATAATTTTTTTTCCCTTACCACTTAGAGACAATAAGGTTATTCTCAGAAGGAAGAACTGCAGAGAAAGGGTAGAGTTCCGGTCATGGGCAACAAGGCCAAAGAATTTTGCCCTTTCTGCTCCCCAAATTACTCCACGGGGTCCCCAACACTGCTGTTTGGTAGGCTCAGGTACTTGAAGGCAATTCCCAATTGAATAAAATGTTCCATTCCATAATAAAATATTATAGACTGAATAAGAACAGGAAAGCAACCAGCAAAAGAACAGCCATAAAAACAAAATTGAGAGCTCTAAAGGGAGATGTGGTGGCGATGAAAAAAGTGTAAAAAACTATACCTAAAAAAAAAAAAAAAAAAAAAAACAAACTATACCTTTTTTTAAAAAACCCTGAAACTAATCTCTTGAGCACCATATACAATTCTTCCCTGGTTGATCAGAGAAAGCATTAGAGATTTAGAAAAGAATAGATGTTCTTTAATAGGCATAGGAGATTTATTCTCTGTGTCACTTAGCACTAGCAAAGCATCACAGAATAAATAAGAGGGGAAGGGCTCAGAAAAGGCCAGATTGTGGTTTTCATAGTAGTAGCAGGTCGTCCCTTACAGGCCTCCCTGTCACTGAATGGGAAACTCCTCACCTTCACCGCTGCTTGTGTGTGTGTGGTCCCTCCATGCTCATGCGCAAGTGTTTTCCTTTCACAGAATCCTATTTCTGGCTCAGCCCAGTGAGCTTAAGAGAACAGTGTCAATGCCGGGACACTCATCACAAATGTTTTTTAGACACAACAGAGACCAACTCATTAGCAGCAGGTAATTTGTCTTCCTGTCACAAAAAGAAAAGCTCAAATATACCTGGTATTAAGGATGATTACAACAGCAGCAATCTACCCAATGAAAAATGGCATATTAGAACACTTTACACGTTTTTAAGGAGCTCCCCGAAGTGCAGAGAGACCAACAGCCTCGATAAGACCAAACATCCTGCTGGAAGGAGAACCATGTCTGGAGCCTATGTCTCCACATGGACCACACCACTACCCTTCCACTGCCAGAGAATATATAGAATATATAGAACCCTGGGTAAGTGCTTGGGAAGCATTAGTCTAAAATTTTCAGAAGTTCTTGGAGGAAGTTAAATCACACAACTGGGGGAGGGTGGAATGTTGAAAGATGTGAGCAGCAACAGGTGTGTCCATTTGCTAACGAGACCACTCAGCTACTCAATAGCATCCACTCCTAAGAGACATGAACATTAGGAGGGGAGGGAGAAACAACCACGGGCTCCCTATAAATAACTCTTTAATTGGAATAGAAAGAGAAGCAAATGGTAGGAAAGCGTCTCTGATTTAGGGGAAGGCCTTGAAGGGCTTTCTTTATCTGAAAGCTTCACTGTAAGAATCTTGACAGCATGACCAAGGTTTTCCAGGTGAGGCTCTTTCCAGGAGCTCAGAAAATAAGAGTAATTTCTAAAAGGACAGAAGATAAGATCCTTCCAGATTAGCATTAGCAGAGTTATCTGGTTTCCTTTTCTTAAAAATTAATTAATTACTTTATTTATTTATTTATTTATTTTTTGGCTGTGTTGGGTCTTCGTTGCTGCATGCGGGCTTTCTCTGGTTGCGGCGAGCGGGGCCTACTCTTCGTTGTGGTGCAAGGGCTTCTCCCTGCGGTGACTTCTCTTGTTGCAGAGCACGGGCTCTAGACTCGCGGGCTTCAGTAGTTGCAGCACGCAGGCTCAGCAGTTGTGGCTCATGAGCTCTAGAGCACAGGCTCAGTAGTTGTGGCTCACGGGCTTAGTTGCTCTGCAGCATATGGGATCTTCCCGGACCAGGGCTCGAACCCGTGTCCCCTGCATGGGCAGGCGGATTCTTAACCACTGCGCCACCAGGGAAGTCCTGTTTTCCTTTTGAATTATTTTTTAATATCCAAAAAATGTATTTCATAGAAAATAAGAAATATGAATATCTTCTAAACCTATAGAAAGATGCTCAAATTCATTCAGAATGAAAGAAATGCATGTTTGAGCACTTAACTATTACTTTCACTATCAGACTGGCAAAGATTTTTAAATTTGGATACTACATGGTGTTGGCCAGGGTGTGAGGAAGCAAACACACACACCACTGATGGGAATGTAAGCTGGTGCAACCCTGTCGGCAGGGCATTTGGCAATCAGTGGTTTTCTTTCCTTCTGACCCAGCAACTCTACTTCTAAGAAATTGTCCTACACTACACTATATGCAAAGACACGTGTACAGAAAGACTCTTCACTGTAGCTTTCTTCATACTAGCAAGAGACTGGAAACAACCTAAATGTGTATTAAGAAAAGATTGGTTAAACACGTTTTGGTACAACCATGCAATGAAGTGTCATGCAGACATATTAAAAACATGTTCTGTCTATCTATAATAGTGTGGAACAATATCCAAGTTACATTGTTAAGTGTGAAAAAACCCACAAGGTACAGAAGAGTATGTGTGCTATGTTCCTACTTGTATCTTAAAAGGAGGGAGATCGAGATACAGTTGTTGATGTTAACATAGATATAAATAAATGTTCTGGAAAGCAATTGTAGGAGTTTCCTCCAGGGAGAAGGCTCAGGGGTCTTTTTTACTATTTTTTTTCAGAAAGACTACTTTTTTTTCTTTGGCTGCATTGGGTCTTCATTACTGCACCTGGGCCTTCTGGCTTTCTGGCTTTCTCTAGTTGCGGCGAGTGGGGGCTACTCTTCCAGGGGCTCCTCTTCGTTGCCGTGCATGCGCTTCTAATTGTGGTGGCTTCTCTTGTTGCAGAGCACGGGCTCTAGGTGCGCGGGCTTCAGTAGTTGTGGCACACGGGCTCAGTAGTCGTGGCTTGTGGGCTCCAGAGCACAGGCTCAGTAGTTGTGGTGCACGGGCTTAGTGGCTCTGTGGCATGTGGGATCTTTCCGGGCCAGGGATTGAACCTGTGTCCCCTGCATTGGCAGGTGGATTCTTAACCACTGCGCCACCAGGGAAGTCCCTGAAAGGCTACTTTTTAAATGTATGGTAAAGGAAGGGGAAAAAATTGGGGGCGGAATCATTTCCTAACTCTTAGAAGTCTAGCAAAACAATACTGAAGCAGAGGAAAACTTGAGTTAAATAAAATGCTCACACAGAATGGAGCATTCTAGTTAAATGACTTTTCTGGCTATTCAACATTAAACAAGAAAGTCCATTTAGTTTAAATCTTTGTTAGGAATATTCATTAGGGCTTTCCTGGTGGCGCAGTGGTTGAGAGTCCGCCTGCCGATGCAGGGGACACGGGTGCGTGCCCCGGTCCGGGAAGATCCCACATTCCGCGGAGTGGCTGGGCCCGTGAGCCATGGCCGCTGGGCCTGCGTGTCCAGAGCCTGTGCTCCGCAGCGGGAAAGGCCACAGCAGTGAGAGGCCCGCGTACCGCAAACAGAAAACAAACAAACAAAAAAACCAGAATATTCATTAAACATCTGAATTTCTTCTTTGCCTGGGTGAGTCTTGTCCAGGGAATCTTCCTCCGAGCACCTTGCAGTGTTTTGTGCTCATAGTACAAAACACCACTTTTCATAACAGGAGATGAGTCTAAACTGATTCTGGGGGCACCTTGTAAGTTTTGTTGTTCCTCATCACGCAGAAATGGAATGTTAAAGAGAAAAGTCTTCATGCTGATAAGAATTCTAGTTTGTTGGATTTAAGCTAATTGAAATCTAGCTAACTAGAATCACATGGAACCCATAAATTTAGAAGCAGCTAAAATTAAACCCTGTCTGGCACTGAGTTAGACTCAAGATGAAGAACAATGAAATAGAAGATGTCAACATAGATTTCCATGAATTACAATCTGGTAGGGGTGATAAGAATTTATAAAAATTTACACATTTGAAGTAACTTGAGAACAATCACAAAGTAATAAGTAATAGGTTATTTTAGGTAAATCAATCCTTTAAAAGTATTTTATTATCACTTCCAAATAAGCCACAATATTTTGAAAATAAGTCTATCCAAAGTAATGTAATTTAAGCATAATATTTTAGAGTAATTTCTTTTCAGAAAATATATCATATTTATACCCACTTTGTATTGATTACTTATCAGTCATCCTACAGAGTGCAATAGTTTAACAGGATTTCTAAGCAGGACCTACCTTACACTGAGGCATAAATCAAAAAACAAGTGTTCTCATAAGGTGACTGGAAGATATAGTAAAATTTTATAATATAAAATATACCATATACTATGAATGAGATATTGTAAAGATGGAAACAATCTCTTAAGGGAAGAAAAAAATCCCTACAGGCTATGGGCTCTGCAAAGGAAAGTTGCTCAGAGCACCTGAAAGAATAATTAAGTTTTAAGTTTCTTGATTCTTCCTTAGAGTATCTAGTATAGGGACTAGCATACCATAGTAGCCTCTCAATAAATGTTATTAACTAAATATACTGCACATGCTTAATAATAAATGCTTCTTGAATGAAGAAATAATAGACCACTTCAGAGACAATTTTTTCCAGCTTCTATTCCCAAGTCGCATGAATTGCAAAAGGGCTGTTGGTCAAATTCCCAAAGGAAGGGAGATCATGTTTGATGATAGGGGCATGACTGATAGCCACACATAGTAGTCAATCTACCTCCCAGGTTTTTGGTAATTAAGATCCAGGATAAATTTGAACATACAAATCACTTAAAACAAATAAGATATAACCTCATTTTGTACCATGGTATTTTGCCAGAACTTATTCTAAAAAACCAAAATCAAGAATCCCTACCCGAACAAGCTTTTCTGAATCCCCTCTCCATTTGCTTACGATGGTAGATGCAGAAATATTAAAGAAGGTTGTTTTGCATTCCGTAGCCACAGCTTTGGCCAGCAAAGTCTTTCCTGTACCTAGAATCACATGTGGGTAAAATATATGAGCGGCCCTCGAGCTCCATTCCTCTGCCTGCAGACGGAAGGCAGTCACACAAGCAAAACAGGAGGTGTTTACTCAGCAAGCACTGCCCCAGCCCTGAAGTAAGGACAAATGGGGCAACCCGTCCTCTGCACACACGCTTCATACCAAGGCCAAAACAGAAAGCCCTTTACCTGGAGGTCCGTAGAGCAGCAGTCCTTTCCAGGGGGAAAGGATTCCTGTAAACAGCTGTGGGTACTATGGGAGCAAGGAACAAGGATGATGTTTAGTATTGGTACATCAGCCTGCGCGCCCTGAGCTCAGGCAAGCTAGGAGAGCTAGGGTGAAACACACGCAACTCTGCGTCAGGCCCTCCTTTTTTTTTTTTTTCCGGTACGCGGGCCTCTCATTGTTGTGGTCTCTCTCGTTGCGGAGCACAGGCTCTGGACGCGCAGGCTCAGCGGCCATGGTTCACGGGCCCAGCCGCTCCACGGCATGTGGGATCTTCCTGGACCGGGGCACGAACCCGTGTCCCCTGCATCGGCAGGCGGACTCTCAACAACTGCGCCACCAGGGAAGCCCAGGCCCTCCTTTTTTTAAGGCTGGCTTTTTCCTTCTTTCCTTCTCTCTCCCCCTCCCTCTCTCTCTCTCTCTCTCTCTCTCTATATATATATATATATATATACACACATATATATATGTATATATATATATATCTTATCCCAATTTTACTTTCACACTTGATAGGATGCATGGCTTAATTTTTGTCACTTTTTAAAAGAGCAGTTATTTTAAGGAGAAGAAAGGCATATGTAGGTACTTTTCTCTCCGTTTCAATAGTCATTTCTCACATGCATAACATCATTTCCCCCAGAGTTCGACATATATGCAGAGCATCTGGCAATCTTTTGAATGTTGTGAAGCAGGAATGCTCTTTAAGATACATACTAGAACCAACATACAAAAGTGTATGTGAATAAAGCTCAAAGCTATGGTGAAGCCCGATTTGGAAGTTGCGAACATTCAGTGCAGAATACATTATGAGACACTGACTCCAAACAGGACATGCGTGGACTTTCAGTGAGTCTCTCCCATTAGTTCAAACTCAAGCCATCTGGAGTTGATAGAGAACCAAGGAGAAGGAAAAATAATAGTAAAATTATAACTAGCTATTAGTTTCTTGCTGATGCTAATGTCAAAATGTTGACATCATGTGGAACTTCTAATACCATGGAGATAACACAACCAGAGTCTGATTGGGCAGTTCTATTCTTTCGTACAAGAAGTCTTGTACAATAGAGCCACTCAGAGGAAATAGGGAATAAATACATTTCCACTAATTCTGAACACCAGTATATTTCTTACCCCCATGTCTGAACACAGGAAGGAAGAAAGGGAAGACAGTCCAAATTTACTGATTTTGTCCCATTCAAAAAGAAGCATCCAAAAATCAGGGGCTGCAAGGGCCCAGTGGTAAGAATAAATAGGTTATTCAATAAAGTAAATCTGTGATCCTAACTGCAGGAGATTACAAAAAATGGCCACAAATTATTTGCAGCTCCTTCCACCAAGAGGCAGAGGATATCTGTCTATCGCTTGAATCTGGATTTTGCCTTGTGAATTTGGCCAGTGGGACATTAGCAAACAGAAGAAGAGACTTGAAAATAGAGACGAGCAAATATACGGAATATGAGAAGAGACACGGGAAAGGCTCACGGATTGGGTCCTGCCCTATCTTGCTTCTGTCTGGGAACTCTCTGCACCGTGTGAGCAAGACTTGGGCTCTCCTGCCAGAGGACGAGAGGCAGAGAGAGGCCTCAGCTGCCTGGTGATCCCAGCTTTCACAGCTTTTCCAGCTTTTCCAGCCACCCTGGCTGATGCCCCAGACGTGTGAGTGAGCCCAACCAACATCACGTGGAAAAGAGCCAAACTGGCCCAGCTAAGCCCAGCCCAAAGAGCCCACCCACAGAATTGCAAACAAATAAATGATTGTCATTCTAAGGCACTAAGTGTTGGGGTGGTCTGTTATACAGCAAAAGCCATGTGGTACACTGACCTTCTCATCACCACTGTTGTAAACCAAACATGAAGAGTCTTGTTTTTCTATTTTTCTTCCTATTTAGTGAGCCACTCTGCACAAAACTTTGTCAGGAATAAGCTGAGCACAGCCCTATGGCTCTACTGGCCAGTGCCCTGGAAGGGCCTGTCTAGTCTTTACAACCAGCTGAAAGCAAAGCCCCCAATGACGGGGGTGTTGGGGGCAGGGGGAAGATCTATGCAAACAAAGTCAGATGCTCTCTCTTATGGCAGGTATTTCTACTCTAAATATTTTTAGGGAGGCAGGCTGATTTGAACCTATAGTAACTGACAAATCATATATACTATAGAGTCGTAGATCTTAAATTACCTCTTAGAGCAGACACCTGCCTTCACCCAATATGTAACATGATTTCAAATTGCCTAGAATGGACTGAGCCTTGGTGCTCCAGTGTTGACAAAATATTGTGACACAGGCAAAAAGTTAATTTGTGGACAGAAAAGCACCCTGTCATTCTCTTCCTGATGGGTATATGACATATAGCTTGTCCAATGGATAATGAACAGAAATACCTCCCAAGAGGTTTCCTTCCCATCCTTACCCTTATAGGATACACAACAGCTTCTTTGACTAACTGCTTGGCTGCATCGAGTCCAATAATGTCATTCCACTTTATGTTTGGATTATGGAGATAAATGTCCTGCAATGCACATTTGATCATTTTGTTAAAACTAATGTTCTCCTCCACAGCTGTAATAAACACTGGAGCAGCAGAATACCTGACTTACAATAGGACATAAAGTGCTTGTGATAAACACTTTTCATATTAGATACATGTGTATATATACACATTGTAATCTGAGGCTAGTTCACCAAAGGGATGTCATGAAAATATTCAGTGATATTCCCTGAAGAAGACATTGCTGATATAATATGGTACTTTTAGGGTAAAAAAAAAAAATCTTCTAATGAGGGACTATACCTGTCTTCGGTCAATAGCAAACCATGCTGATTTACAACCGTAATCAAAGAAGCTACAGAATATGCCTACAAATTACATTAGCTTTACTCTGAAACATAGTTCCTAGCCGTTGCCTGCCCTCTCTCTTACTCCTTGATCTCGAAAACACTTTCGTAATTTGCTGCCTAAAAGAGAGAACGCTCCTCTGAAACCAATTTCTCTTTTCCCCTAGTGATCGCTCCCTGCTTCCATCAGGAGCAATTGCTTCTACAAAATCCAAGGAAGCCAACAACCAAGCGAAAGTCTTCCCCTCACATAGCAAAGCCCTGTAGCAACCACTGAGGGTAATCAATTAAGGTAGCTTTTACTGATACTAATTTACAGTTTCCAAACTTCAATTTCGCTAGATGATCAGAACAGTCACTCAGGGGCCTTTCTCAGTAGGAGCTGTTTTGGGCAAGCTGAATGTCTAGAGTGTTACGGCCAAAAACAAAACAAAACAAAACAAAAAACCCACCTCTTTTCCAAAGTCATTCTGAGTGACTACAGAACAATCTGGAAACTACTTTTATATTTATTTAATTTTTAAATAAATAATACATGCACATGGTTCAAAAATATACAAACATATTTTTAAAATTCTGGTGAGATGTTATACCTCCACTTCTGTCCCCCATCCTCCCAGTTCCCTTCACCAGAAGTGACAAATTTTATTAGAGAAACTATTTATGCAGGTGATTTTCATGGTGTATGATGTATGTATGATCCATTCCTGGGTGAGCTGACAAAGGTCTCAGTCTTCCAAAATCTTGGGAGAACCACCCTGTCTTTAAAGGACCACCCACTCATTCTTATTACCACACTTTCTTAGGAAAAGCTTGGCACACAGTGGGGATTCAACTACCCTGGAGTTCAAGGCATCCATAGATAATAGCAGTATTCCTTGCCTTCTTCTAGAGTTGACATTGAATTCCACGTGGTACTGTTTAAGCTCCCAGTAGGAAGTCCCTCCTTACATCAATCAAAAGTTCTCAAGACTCAGCAGGACTGCCTCAGGAGGTGGTGAGCTCCCATCCCTGTCAGCATTCAAGCAGGGTCTGCACGACTGCCTCCCACTGTACTGTGGGAAGGGTTCCAAATGGAATCCTTTCAGGCCACTTCTACTCTACAACTTTATTATCACTAGTCCTGGTATCCTTTTGCAAAAACACTAACAAGACTATTGATTTGGGGGTATAAAAATATTTTTCTTATGCATCCTAATTACCACAGCCTGGCTCGATCCCTCATCCTCTCACTGGCAATAACTTCAGAGCTGGTCTTCCTATCTCCATGTCTTTGATAGCCTTCCACACTGTCATTAGAACAAGCTGTCTAAAAGTACATTTGATTGCCCCATTCTCCTGATGGACGACTTTCGAAGATTCCCAGTCTCCCACAGACTGACTCCAGCCCTGGGTCCTGTTCGCAGCACCCTTACATGCAGGAACCCTGGCCTCTCTCTCCAGCCCATCTCCCACCATTCCTTGCGTCCCAGGTGGCTCCTGAGAAGCACTGCACAAGCGCTACAATTTCACAGGTCTGCACCTCTGCCCAGAACGCCTCCCCCCACCCTCTTCTATTCTTTTTTCACGTGGCTGTTTCCTGCGTATCTTCTTCCCTAACACTTTCCCCACTCCTTGGCGCAACAATACCCATCCGTTATGCTCCTGAAGTGCACCTTGCCCGTGGGACGAGAATCCCTTATGGGCAAGGACTGTGTTGAGTCGTTCACCTTTGTGTTTCCAGCCACCAGCACATGCCTGACACATCAGAGGCGTGCAGGGGACAAATGCTGGGCTGAAAGGAGACCTGGGAGACCTTAATGACCTCAGAGCAGATGTAAAGTTCTTGCATCATTTTAAACATCTCTCTGAGCCTGTCTAGGTTTCAGTTTTTCATTAAATACAAGATCACTGGAAATTAGAAAAACCTCCTATAACTCAGGAATCTATTCTATTCCCAAGGAACTTGCCCAAAGTCACACAGCTAGAAAGAGGAGGATCTAGGAATCAAATCCAGGTCAACCTATTCCACAGCCTGTGTCGTTAACCATTAAACTTCACTGTCTTTAGGTCCCGGAGGCCAATCTTGAAAAATCAGTAGTTTGGATGGTAAGATCCTTCCTACTAATCTGTTTCTTCATGAAAATTTCCAGTTAGGAAATCAGACTCCCAACATCTCTATTTCTAGGCTTCGACTGTTTAAACAAGACGCAGACGTGCTCTTTCCTTCTCTGAGAGGCTTTCTTTCCTTAAGTCTTGGCTCGGCTCTAAACCCTTTCACCTGTCCCTTCCACTCTAAGTCTTTTTCTCTTTGGGTTTTCTTGGCCTCTATAGTGAGATGGTGGGCTTTTTATATTGTAATTTTACGATTCTATAATTGATTCATCATGCATTATTGTGCCTCTAAACAATATGAGTGCCTTTGCAAGTGGGGGCACTTTATAAATAAATGATTATATTTATTGTTATTAATAAAAGAAGCAGCCCACAATGCTCCAGGAGCCCCAGTCCGCCTCCGTAAATTTGTGAATTGAATATCAGATCTTACCCGGCTCACCACGGCTGCCAATTCTCGCATCTCACTGTTCATGCCAATAAATGCACTCAGAGGTTTCAACAATCGTTCCTGACAATAGGAATAGAAAGCCTAACGTTACAATATTACTTCATCACTTGGGAAGAAAAACAGAGCACGGACTTCCAGGACACAAATGGTGGCAGGTTGCTATGAACTTTGACTTGATCTCAAGGTTTCTCTGGACTCAAAATTATATTCCCAAAGTTCATCTGGATTTTGGCAGTTTATAAGATGAATGTCCCATCTTAGCCACTTACTGAAGGGTCTGGGTTACAGTCGAAGCTATTCAAGCCAAGTTTGCCGGTTGCTCCTTTTATGGCATCTGTGAGCAGCCCTCGGAAGTCAATGATTTGGCCCTGAAAGGGAGTAACAGTTATTGAAACGGCTATTAAAACATGAGGGGAGACTAACCTTAATAGCTCAGTTTCATTAAATTAAAACACATTTATGTGCCTTGGTATGTAGTGCAAACTTAAAGCCTCAAAAAGAAACTGCACTAATAATGAACAAGATGATTTCATCAAGTTGGGGCACTCTAGGAAAAAGAAACAAGTTATAAAGAAATTCTTCAGAATGGAGTTGGTTTGGATAAAATTCCCAAGCATTTGTCAGTTCCTGACACACCATCTGCTTCCTACATGTCTACTTCCCCTGTATTGTCTCATCCTTTTTAAACATTCCACACGCAGGAAGACTTCACTGGCACAAGAATATTAATAGCTCCTATTTATGGACCACACTGTACATTTACCACTCAGGAGACTGCCTGGCACAAAACAGGTGTGCAAGGTACTTGTGAGGATTATTTCCAATCCTTCTAACACTTCTGCTAGTCGGGAATGGCATCCTAGTTTCACAGATGTGGAGGTAAGGCCAGAGAAGTTAAATGATCTGCCCAGGGCCACACAGCTAACAAGTTATTTAAGACCAGGATTCAAACCCAGATATCTGTCTCCCCTACCCATACTCCTTCTGTCTCCCCTAGAGGCAGAATGAAAAAGCAAGGATGCCTGTAAAAAATAAAAGACAGTAACAGTAGCCAACATTTACTGAGTGCTTATTATGTGCTGGGTGTAAGACTAAGGCACTCCATTCATTATGACCTTGGAAGTGGGCACTATGATTATTTCCATTTCACAGATGAGAGAAATGAGGCTTGGAGAGATTAAACAACTTGCCCAAGGTTCACAGCCAGGAAGGTCTGACCTGGGCTTTGAACCTAGGCAGGCTGACTCCAAAGCTAGTGCCTTTGGAAACAGCACATCTACAAAATTTGCACGGGGGCCTGGGAATCATGAAGCTAGGGGCTCTGGGATGGTGATGAAAGACCCATTTTGGAGATAGGCCCCTGACCATATGCCCTCATTCAGCTTATGAAATGCTAGGGAGAAAACCGTCCACAGTTTACCCTGAGGACATTTCTGCTGCAAAGAGAATTTATAGCCAGATTCTTTCAAAGGTTAAGTGCTGGGTTAAATAGTCCCTTCCTTGACCTGATCAGAAACATCCATTCACATTAACATGAGATGTTCATGAGAGCAGCATTGCTGGGCACACAAGTAACCAAAAACGTGACATAGGTAGTGACGGTGAGCAGGGAAGTATTTCTCCATGGGCAGCAGTGATTCCAATGTGTCACCCCCAGGAATCACCCATATAATCGAGGGCCTAAAAGGAGCCAGTTCTGGCCCATGAAGCGGCTCCCCTTGATTTCAGGGAGATAGATGCTCCCAGTTCCCCTCCAGACACACACACCCAGAGTTTGGTTTGCCTGAGAAGAGCTGGCCAGAGGTAAGTCAGCAGTCCCGTATGATCGGAGAAAGAAAGATGACTCAATGATATTCAACCCTGAAAAGTTATAATCAAGAGAAACACGTTGGTGTCGATGCTGCTTTTTATTTCCAAGTGACCCACTTTTACCTACCTTTGGCCTACAACTACCCAATATGGGTCTTTTCTGTTTGAGAGACTGTTATTGACGAATCAGGACGTGAGGTTCATTAGGAAAGGGGTAAATATCTATTGAGGACAAGATCAGCCTTATATCAACTGAGGTTTCCTGGTTCACATGAAATTACATTCAAGCCTGGAGCCACATCTCCAAGGAGAAAGGAACACTGTTAGTCAACTCCTACTGACAGGGCAGAAAAGAATGAGTGCGAGGCCACAACTCCTGAGGTATCGCAGAGCGCTTTGTTACTGTCATCACAGAATTTTTAAGCTGAAAGGAACCTTAGAAGCCATCTCTTCCAAACCCAGCAATTTACAAATGGGAAACTGAGCCCCTTGGAGATGGGGCCGTTCATTCAAGTCCATCCACCCAGGAGGGAGATCCAGACCAGCACCTCAGGGTCTCAGCCGCAGCCAGTCCCTTGCCAATTCACCCCACAGCCAACCTTTGATCATCACATATTACTTTTCCTCTTTGACAAATATAACACTTAAAATTTTTCATTTTCAAAAAGAAAAGGGAATTCCCCCATTTAGTGTTCAGTTCATGAGTCCCACTTACTTTTGGTGGGCGGATGTTTTCTTCTCCACTGCCTTTGTTGATTCCAGATATACTTAAGCCAAAGTCAGCACTCTCCTTATGAGTGTGATTGACAAGCTCCTGGAGAAAGAGGAAGACAGTGAGAAGTCAGCTGCGGAAAGCAACTTCGAGATGCTGGCTGCAGCTGCCCGTCCCGTCGTCCCACACCATTCTGCAAACAGGGACTCCCACGTGTGATTCAACCTCTTCTGTGCAGACCCAACAAGATGAATAAACTCTGCCTGTGCCAGGAAGGAGGAGCTGTCCCAGGAAGCCATGGGCTCTGAGAGCACAAGCAGTGGAGGAAATGGTTGGGCCTCCACCCATGCCCACTCACTGGCCTGTCTTTTCTCCTCGGACCAGAGGTATTTGTGGGCAGGGGCGGCTGAGTTTGGAGATGCAACATAGTCGACAGTTAGCCAGCCTCCTGTGGGATTCATCCTGCCCCCCTTCACCTCCCCTCCCCCTAAGCCAGTTTGCAATGGCCAGGACCACACAACCTCCTTGCAGGTGAGAGATGCCTTTTGACCAACTGAGTTTTGTGATGATGCCTTTCTATCCCACCAGACCGCTTTGACATGCATTCTTTCATTCCTCTTCACCATTTCCATTAGTTCTCTTTCCTTTGAAACCTGGTATGTTTTGTCCTAAACCAGAAGGTTCTTGGCAAGGATTTCACCCGCCTGCTGGGCTCTCTCCTCTTGCTACCCATCTCTTTCCCCAAAAGTCCAGTGTGGAGGTCTGGGGTGGTGACCCACCATGTGCGCCTTGGAGAAACCCAGTAGGAGACTGTGAGGCCCAGCCACACCCAAGACTACACTGGCCTACACTTCGGACCCCAGGGACACGCTTCAGGACAGGTAGAGCTGGCACCTACGGTTTCCTCAAGCGGGAGGATTGTGCTTCGTGAGGACCAGGCCCTCCTGCTCTGACTGGGCCTAGGACTCACCCCTCAAGGCCTGTCACCCAGCACTCAGACCAACGGAAAGCTTGTGGGGAGGAAGGAGTCCTCCTTCCAAGTGAAGAAACGTTAGGAGGCCCGGGGATCTGCCCGTCCTTTTAACCCAGTGTGCTGGAAGAAAATCTACAATTTAACAAAATCAAATTGTGCTCAAAAAACAAATAAATGTGACTTTTTTCTTGGGGCTGTTTCTCAGCCACCTGCAATTTTACCAACGTCAAGTAAAGCCGGCCCGACCTCTTTAGGATGCTCCCTGTAGAGGGGCTTGGCGCCCCCTGGCTTCCCCACCGTGGTTTTGGACCGTGGCCTCTGCTGGCTGATCTTGGGAAGATTTTGACAACTGTCGCTCGTCACTCTAGAGGAGGGAACAAAGACCATGGTGGAAGTCCTTTTAACTGAATTTGAGGCAGCTAAACACCTTGCATAGTGCATTTAAAGAGAGTTCTGGAAAGATGCAAGTCTGTCTGCACTGTCCTCCCACTCTGCCCAGCCCGGCCCTGTCCCTCTTCAGTCTATCCAGGTTCCTCCAAGACTGGGCTAGAGGGTCCACTTCCTCCTAGAGGTCCCCGACACCCTCTCTTCATTTCCCCTTCACACCACCTGGCTTCTACAGATAGCTTTCTATCCCTAAGAACACACTGCTCTACAAGCATTCCTCAGATGTTTCTTCCCACCTTCCTTTAACAACAGCACTCAGACCAGGGGAAGGGTGCGGGGCAGGAAGGGGTCCTCCTGCTGAAATTAAGAAACGTTAGGAAGTCCTGGGCATCTGTCCGTCGTCTCAATCCATCGTGCTGGGTGCACCCTGCCTACTGCCTTTCAAGCCGCGCACAGCCAGCATCAAAAGTGGCTTGTGGAAGGGAGGCAAAGTTCCCTCATCTCTGCTGTCACAGATCATTCACATTTGCAGAACAAATTTTCACCAAATATTGTTCACTTGAGGCAAAATGAACTGATGGGGCTGGAAGTCCCAGTGGTAGCTAACTCTGGTGGAGACGGGGAGCCTTGCCTGCAAGGGGGCCCACCCCGGGGGTGGGACTTGTGGTGGTTCAAAGAGTATGCATGCATTTGACTGTGTTTATGTCATACATCAATTCAAAGGTAAAATAAACCTGTCACTATGTCCGCATAAGTAGACATGGAATATTTTCAGGTAGGCGACGATATCCAGAGAGAGGCAGGGTGTGCTCGCGGGGCAGAACATGAGCTCCCCCACGGGAAGTTGTTTGGTTCTCGTCCCTCACGTGAGGAGCGTTTACAGGACATTCGCTAGAAGTATTTCTCCCCATGTTCTAAGTGGTCTCACAGAGCTGCTATTTCAACCCCATTTTTTTGTAGGAAAGAAAAAGTTGCTGGTGTCTAATATAAACGCGTAGGTATTTGGCCAGCAAGATCACCCACGCCAATACCACACCAGTGTCCGCTCGTGGTGATCCCAGTGTTGGGCCCTCTGGGGTGAGTGTCATAAGACGTGGACAACTGGTGGTTTCTCAGTGCATTTGTCTTTCATCTGTAACCAAGGAACAAGAATGTCTGTCCCTTAGGCATTTTGCTGGCACAAAAATCAACCATCTATGAAATGAGTGCCAAGCATTGTACAAGTACAAACCCTATGAGTAGCATTGGTTTAAATGAAGTAAGGAGACATATATATATATACACATACACACATATATATACGTGATATATATATAAAACGTGCCTAAACATCCTTGTGAGGCTGGCGAAGAACCAGGAGTCATTTTCCCACTTTCGTTTCCCATTGGAGGTTAACTGATTCACAGATTTGCTTTGACATGACCAAAGACATGTGCACTAATGTACAAGCAATGCAATTCATTTCCAATCAGCTCTAAGGATTGTAAAATTCTTCTGAATATGAAACCAAATTCACCCTGCTTTAACTTTAGTCACCAGTCCTTGGTGTGCCCTACGGAATTCTGCAAAGAAGGCCTAATCTCTCTTTAGAAAGTGAAGACTGCCACCGTGTTGTTCTAGGTGCCCACCCCCACCCCAAGTCTTCTGTTCTTCAAGCTAAACACCTCCAGTTGCTCCAAGCACTCCTAAGGTTACCTGGCTCCCAGAGTCGTCCTCATCCTGGTCATCTTCCCTTTGTCCACTGTCATCTGACTGGAATAGAGTCACTTCCTACGTTTTGGACGCTGTGTTTCTATTGATGAGGCCCGAGACCACATTAGCAATCACATCGTACTGTCGACTCACACTGCATCTTCTGTCACTCAGATTTCTAGGTCTCAGATTTTGTAATAATGGAGCTATTTGTTGTGAATCTTTGATTAGACCTTAAACATTATTTCATTACAGTTCATCTTGCTATTTTGGACCCGTCTCCTAATTTGTCCAGATCTTTTGGCATCCTAACTCTGTCATTCGTCACACAAGGTAACCTTTCCTCCTTTGGGTCATCTGCAAATCTGTAAAGTCGGAGCTTGCTCTCTGGTGTGAGATGCAGGAATTAGGAAAAAGCACTTTCATTTGTTAATGACCAGTCTCATGACACAACCTCTCATTTCAATAACTATTTTAAGTAGAAAATTATACACAAACACCATGCATCGCTTTTCTAGTTATCCTTCCTGACGCCAACCATCTGCCATCCAACCTCGATGGTTGCCATGTACAAACAGCTACCCAGAGAGGGGCTGAAGAAGCCCCCAGCTGTCTGATGCCACCATGCTCCAGCCCTAAAGGGAGGCAAAGGGCTCCAGGGACATTCACTCACAGAACGTTCTGCCAGGTAAGGAATGCTGAGGAAGTTCCAGACATGAATGTGTGGCTGAAAAGCTATCAGAATCCAAAGGCGCCCCAAAGCTGCCTCTTAAAATGCTGCTCACTGTTTCTGTTCCCAAGTAGTTACCATTATTACCAGAGTCTGACTAGCTTTATGGAAACCATAAATAAAAGAAGAACACTGGTCAAAACAGTAAACCTGTTCCTAAAGAATCGCACAAAGCAAAGGGAGCCTCAGGCTGAGTATCAGTGAGTATCATCAGGAAGCAGGCTCGGGCTCCACGGCTCTTCTATAAGCGATGTCAGACACCTTCGCTCATAAAAGGTGAGGTGTCTCAGTCCCTTCCTTCTTAGGCTGCAGACAAGGGACTGGAGTCACAGAGCAGAGAGCCTAGTGGGATTCGCGGAATTCACAACACTTCTTGATGGCCTAATGAGTTGCTTATTATGATCACAATCTAAGTTTACTCCTTTCAATTGCATTCTAAGATTTCAAAAAATGTTGTTCACTGCCTGAGTGGTTGTGTGGCCCCTGCCGGAAGCCCACATCCACCTTCCCCTGAGGTCTGGGCTTTATTGTAACACCACAGGCCTTGATGCCCCAAAGCTGTGCCGTCCGGGGCATTTCTGAACAGGCTCCGACGACAGGGGTGTGGTCTGGAGTGAAGAGAGGAATGGGATGGACACTGAGGCAAGACTGGGGGCCTGTGTCAACCCAGGATGGTCAAGAGACAGAGGGGCTCTAATCAGATACCCCAAGTGCCAGATGAGATTTGGATTTGAGAAGCTGGAGAAAGAAATATAAGGTGAGCATGAGAAAAGGAGAGGAAAAGATAGATCTGATTCCCTTCAGACAGTCAGGACATGTGATCTGGAGTGCACAAAGAAATGACAGGTACGACATGAAAAGGGAAAATTATATTTCTTGGGTGCTTACTATGTGGCAGGAACTCACTATGTGTCAGGCTCCTGCTCCAAGCTTGTAAGTGGCAGAGCTGGGAGCTGAACATGGGTCTTTTAATCTCTGAGGTCCATACTTTTCATACCACCCAGCCTAGAAAGACAGAGCATCAGTGGACGCAATTCTTTGTGGTAAAACCAGAGAACCAACAGACATTGGTCCGTGTCCTGAACATCTGTAACATGAGGGGAACCCGTGGCTGGGTCCACCAAGGTCACAGGACCAGTCTGGTATTGCTGGTAGGCAGACATGGAGCTGCACTACAGAATCTTCTGGAAACAGATCCCACAAATTCCTAGAGTTGAGTTGGTCAAGATGAATTACCATTTACTTTACCTTCTGGTCTTCCCTCCACTTCTTTGTGGTAAATTATTTTCTGCTGTGGCAAAACAAATATGGGAGGAAAAGGAAAGATTTAATTTTTAAGAGAAAGCGATTTTTCGGTATGTTTTTCCTTTTACATTCTTCTTAAAATTTGTGCTACATCCATAAACTCTAAGCTATTCTCATCCAGAGAGGAGTGGAATTACCTACCGGCGAAGAGAAAGAAGCCCATGCTTCCCAAGCATTTCCACACAAGGACCCCAAAGACCTCAGATATTAAACATGTTGGAGAACACAGACTCAGTGGCACCTCCAAGGTGGGCTAGCTTTATAGTTACCATTTTATTAAGTTTTCATAAACTTGACACCATTTTGCTGTGGTCCCTGGGACACCAGGATGATTGCATGAGCCTGGCAGGGAACACTTACCAGTCTATTCTGCCTGTTTACCTTAAAAAAAAAAGACATTGTGTCCAATATCCCAGGAGAGTGTGGTTCCAAGCTAGAACTAGCATTCTAGATATCAGATCATGTCAGTAACAGTCCTGGTGGCCCAGTGGTTAGGAGTCAGTGCATTTTCTGCCAAAACCCAGATCCAACAAGCAGCCAAGGATGTGGAGCTTTGAACCCTGCATTGGAAGGGAGCTCAGATAAAACACCACCCTCTCAGAACACCTCCAGCTCTGAGATTCAGTGCTGGCTAATTTTAATTGATATTCCTCTTGGTTTCCTGGTCCCCACATGAAATGTTAAAGTCTGTGGCTTAACAAGTGCCTTGTAAACAGGACAATGATCTCCCTTGGTTTATAATTACTTTCCCCACTTACAGACTTCTAAGTCAATGTCACTACAAAACACAGGACCCTAACTTTAGATCCTTCCTCCAGCCAGCCTCCTTGGCTGTTAACCTATACTGGGTCTTTGCATTATATTGATCATTATCTGGATTGATGGCTTCCAAAAGCATTTCATTATCTATACAAGAGCTATTAGCCTCACCAATACTCATTTTCATGTTATTTTCAAGATGGATAATAGGTCTTCCCAACAAGAAAAAAGTCTTCTGTCACTTATTGTCTTCCAACAGCTCTTTTCATCTCTAAAGAAATGAAAGTAATGCTGATCTTCTAAAAAGTACCTGTGACACACTGGGGTTTTGCTTTCACTGCCCTACATCATACAGTCCTCAAACAAATGCCAAAGTGACAAAAGAGACATCAATGTCCAGATGTCATGCTTAAATTGTCTGCACTGGATCTAAGAGAGGCTACACAATCCTTCTGGTCTATTCCTTCAGTGTAGGGTGGGGGACATCATCTATCTGGAAATAAAAGGAGGAAGAAACACAAAACGTAAAGATACCTGTGTCTGATGCCTTTTTGACAATTTTGGGGTATTTCTGAAATTTTATAAAATAATAGCTCTCATATTCCATCAAAATAGTTTCAAGATCAACGTTGTCACAAACTTCAAAACGTCGTAACCCCAGTTTAGTTTCCTGCTCCAAAGCATTGGCTGCATCAATATATCTGGCCATTTCACAGAAGAAAGAAAAAATTAACTCTAGGTAAAAAGAATAAAGGCAAACAGGCATCATAAGTCCAAGGAGACTCAATACAAATAGTAAGCTTATATTAAAGAGTACATCAAATGAAAACTAGAATACATGGGGTTTGCCTATAGAGAAAGAAGCCCCACATAGGTTAAGTATATCCAAATATTGTCTTTCAAAACATTTTGTAAGTACTTAAAAGTCAAATAACTAAATCAACTAAGAAAATGTCTTGTAATTTACTTTTACTCATTTTTAGCCAAAGATGATTATTTGCCCAACTTGATTACTTCTTTATTTACCAGTATTCATTTTAGGTCACATTTGACAATTGATAAAACCCCAATTCAACCCCAACAGGCAAGATTTGCCATCACTGAGGCAACTCAGAAGAATATGTCATGTGCTCTAAAGGGAATTCCAAAAATATGTTGATCAATATCACCGAGGAAATTTAGTATAAGAAGACGTCATCTACTTGGATGTATTGTATTTCTGATAATTTCTTCATCAGTCACAGATTATACTACCAGGTGCCTCTGCATGCATGTAGTGTCATCACCATGGGTGTCTCACTCGTTTTTAACGTGGTCAGTTGTAAGGCCATCTGACTTAAGTGGTCTAAGCAATGAAGGCAAGCTCACAATCCTCTGAAAGTGGAAAAACTCTCTGGTTTTAATCTGAGTCCCTAACTTCTTTTAAAACCAAAAATTCTCTCCTGAAAAATGTGCAATATGCACATATTAGCATACAATTCCAGGAGCTCATCCAAGGGCCTCAGATTAAAAATTCTCATTGCAGTCAGAGTTCCTTCTCTTTGATTTCAAATCTGGCAAGGTAGAGGAGAAAACTTTTTTTTATTATGCTTCCTTCCCTGTCCCAGATTCAGATCAGTTAGAAGACTGGACTTCCTTGAAAGAGGTTGCCGTGGCTATTTCCAATGACCTTGCTAATTTTAAAGAATTTGCAAACATCAATTGACTGTAGTCTGTCAGCTTCTATACTTATTAATGGCTCACCACGCTTCTACTCGATGTCTTAATCACCATTTTACAGAGAGAAAAACTAAATACATTTTTATTAATAATTTTTGTTTAGTATGATGTAATACATGTTCATTTAAGAAAACACTAGAAAATACAGATGAGTCAAAAGAACATTCCACTACTCAGAGATAATGACTGTTAACATTTTCTCTCTTTCCAAACATTTTTTAAATGATTAAAAACACATATACTTACATATATGCACTTGTTTAAAAAAAAAAAAGATGGGAACCTACACTATAGATTGCTTGTATATATAAAGATTGCTTTTATTGTCAGCAATATAAAGACTGCTGACATCACATTACATTCTGAACTCTTCCCAGGATCATAGGGGGTTTTTTTGTTCTTTTGGGGTCGAGTCTTTTTTTTTTTTTTAACATCTTTATTGGCGTATAACTGCTTTACAATGGTGTGTTAGTTTCTGCTTTATAACAAAGTGAATCAGTTATACATATACATATATCCCCATATCTCTTCCCTCTTGCATCTCCCTCCCAATCATAGGGTTTTGACTTAAACAAAAATTATAAGAATACATGATGAGGGGCGGAGTCAAGATGGCGTATTAGGAGGATTTGGAATTCGCGTCTCCTCACAACTAGGGTACCTACCAGGCACCGGAGGGGGACCATGGACACCTAAGGGGACGGGAGGTACCCCCAGCAACCGGGTAGGACGTGGGTCGTGGGGGGGAGTGCAGGGGGAGAAGTGGAGGCGGGACGGGAGTGGCGCCCGAGGGGCGGCTGGGGGAGGGGAAGGGATCCCACGCCCAAAGGGGGAAACTGGGGAACACTGGGAGGGCAGAGGCTCCAAAGGGAGCGTGGCCAGGTTTCCCCTGCCCACTTAGGCCCTCAGGAACCTGCTGAGATCCCAGGCCTGATACTCTGCCCACCTAGGCCCCCTCCAGCCACGCGGGTCCTGAGGGAGTGGGAGGGAGGGAAGGGGGAGCAAAAGTAAAGGCCAGACCTCCGGGACCAGCATCCCTGAGGGGTGGCTGGGGGAGGGGAGGAGTTCCTACACCCAGCGGGACCCACCCACAGTTAGGGGTCCAGTGGCGACGGGAGAGACCCTGAGGGAGATGGTGGGGGAGGGGCATGAAGGAACGGAAGGGAACGGGTCCAGCACTTTCCCTGTCCACTTAGGCACCGGGAAGCCTGTTGGGCTCCCGGGCGATAATCCTCTGCCCTCGGAGCCTCCCTCCTGCTGTGCAGAGCCCGAGCCCCGCCCCTACACCCCCACCCAGGGCCCCACCTCTACACTCGGAGACCCCCTCCAGCGCACTGGGCCTAAACCCCACACACACACCCTCACCCAGGGCCCTACCTTCAAACTCCGGAACTCCACACTCCAGAGGCCCTCCTTTCTACGTGCTGCCTCTCCCCTTCCGAGCAGGTCCTAAGCAGAGGCCCCGCCCCACGCTTGAACGTTGCCCCGCCTAGGCCCCACCCCCAAGGCCCCAACCCCAAGGCCTTTTCTGGCTGCATGGGTCCTGAGCGTAGGCCCCAACCCCATGTTCAAACCTCACCTCCCACCTGCCTAGGTCCCGCCCCACCCTAAACCCCACCCCTGCCTAAATTCCACCCTGCCTAAACTCTGCCCTCATAGCCAAGGCTCTTTATTTTCCTTTTTTCCTCTTTTAGATTGGGGTTCTGTTTTACCTTGTTGATTCATTGTTGTTGATTCTTTTATTTTTTTATTTTTTGCGGTACGCGGGCCTCTCACTGTTGTGGCCTCTGCCGTTGCAGAGCACAGGCTCCGGACGCACAGGCTCAGTGGCCATGCCTCACGGGCCCAGCTGCTCCGTGGCATGTGGGATCTTCCCGGACCGGGGCACGAACCCACGTCCCCTGCATCTGCAGGCGGACCCTCAACCACTGTGCCACCAGGGAAGCCCTCTTTTATATTTTTATTTTTCCTAATAAATCTTTTATTTTCCTAATTTTCTTTTATTCTTTATACTTTGTTATTGTTCTCTCCTTCTGACTTGTCTCCCCCACGCTTTTTATTTTCTTTTTTCTGTTGTGGTTTTATTTTACCTTGTTGTACTTGTTCCAATTATAGTTTTATTTTTCCTAATATATATTTTATGTGTCTAATGTTATTTTGTTTTTTATTCTTTGATATTGTACTGCTCCTTTTTTTCTTTCTTACTCTTTTTTTTCCATGCCGCGAAGCTTGCAGGATCTTGGTTCCCAGGCTGGTGGTTGGACCCAAGCTCCTGTGGTGGGAGCTCTGAGTCCAAACTGCTGGACTAACAGAGAACCTCAGACCCCAGGAAATATGAATCGGAGTGAGGCCTCCCAGAGGTCCTCATCTCAGCACCAAGACCCAGCTCTATCCAACTGAGTGCAAACTCCAGTGCTGGACATCTCAGGCCAAACAACCAGTAAGACAAGAATACAGCACTACCCAACAACAAAAACAAAAAACTGAAATGACAAAAAAATATGTTACAGACAGGGAGCAAGTTAAAAACCTACAAGACCAAATAAATGAAGACGAAATAGGCAAACTACCTGAAGAACAATTCAGAGTAATGATAGTATAGACGATGCAAAATCTCAGAAATGGAATGGAGAAAATACAAGAAACATTTAACAAGGATCTAGAAGAACTAAACAGCAAACAAACAGTGAGGAACAACACAATTACTGAAATTAAAAATATTCTAGGGCTTCCCTGGTGGCACAGTGGTTAAGAATCCGCCTGCCAATGCAGGGGACATGGGTTCGGGCCCTGGTCCGGGAAGATCCCACAAGCTGCGGAGCAACTGAGCCCGTGCACAACAACTACTGAGCCTGCGTTCTAGAGCCCGTGAGCCACAACTACTGAGCCCGTCCCACAACTACTGAGCCTGCATGCCACAACTACTGAACCTGCGCTCTAGAGCCCGTGCTCCACAACAAGAGAAGCCACCGCAATAAGATGCCCACACACTGCAACGAAGAGTAGCCCAGGCTCTCCGCAACTAGAGAAAGCCCACGCATAGCAAGGAACATCCAATGCAGCCAAAAATAAATAAATTAAATAAACAAATTAAAAATAAATACTCTGGAAGGAATCAACAGCAGAATAACTGGGGCAGAAGAATGGATAAGTGAGCTGGAAGATAAAATGGTGGAAATAACTGCAAGGGAGCAGAATAAAGAAAAAAGAATGAAAACAATTGAGGACAGTCTCAGAGACCTCTGAGACAACATTAAAAGCACCAACATTCGAATTATAGGGGTCCCAGAAGAAGAGAAAAAGAAAGGGTCTGAGAAAATATTTTAAGAGATTATAGTCAAAAACTTTCCTAACAAGGGAAAGGAAATAGTCAATCAAGTCCAGGAAGCACAGAGAGTCCCATATAGGATAAACCCAAAAAGAAACACACCGAGACACATATTAACCAAACTATCAAAAATTAAATACAAAGAAAAAACACTCAAAGCAGCAAGGGAAGAGCAACAAAAAACATACAAGGGAATCTCCAGAAGGTTAACAGCTGATGTTTCAGCAGAAACTCTGCAAGCCAGAAGGGAGTGGCAGGACATATTTAAAGTGATGAAAGGGAAAAACCTACAACCAAGATTACTCTACCCAGCAATCTACAGATTCGATGCAATTCCTATCAAACTACCAATGGCATTTTTCACAGAAGTAGAACAAAAAATTTCACAATTTGTATGGAAACACAAAAGACCCCGAATAGCCAAAGCAATCTTGAGAAAGAAAAATGGAACTGGAGGAATCAGGCTCCCTGACTTCAGACTATACTACAAAGCTACAGTAATCAAGACAGTATGGTACTGGCACAAAAACAGAAAGATAGATCAATGGAACAGGATAGAAAGCCCAGAGATAAACCCAGGCACATATGGTCACCTTATCTTTGATAAAGGAGGCAAGAATATACAATGGAGAAAAGACAGTCTCTTCAATAAGT